CTGGCTTGCATCCATAGATGCTTCTCAAGCAAGTCCCGGGACGTCATTCTCCCCCTGTACTCGGCCTTAGTGAGGCTGCAGCTGGAGTACTGTGTCCAGTTTTGGGCTCCACAATTCAAAAAGGATGTGGAGAAGCTTGAGAGAGTCCAGAGAAGAGCCACGCGCATGATCAGAGGTCAGGGAAGCAGACCCTACGATGACAGGCTGAGAGCCCTGGGGCTCTTTAGCTTGAAAAAGCGCAGGCTCAGGGGTGATCTGATGGCCACCTACAAGTTTATCAAGGGTGACCACCAGCATCTGAGGGAACGTTTGTTCACCAGAGCGCCCCAAAGGATGACGAGGTCGAATGGTCACAAACTACTTCAAGATCGTTTCAGGCTGGACATAAGGAAGAACTTCTTTACTGTCCGAGCCCCCAAGGTCTGGAACAGCCTGCCACCGGAGGTGGTTCAAGTGCCTTCATTGAACACCTTCAAGATGAAACTGGATGCTTATCTTGCTGGGATCCTATGACCACAGCTGACTTCCTGCCCTTTGGGCGGGGGGCTGGACTCGATGATCTTCCGAGGTCCCTTCCAGCCCTGATGTCTATGAAATCTATGAAATCTGCTAAGGTCCCTTCTGACCCAAACATCTATGAATCTGTGAACACTAAGCTGATTAATATTAACAATGTAAGGTGTAGCAAGGCCCTAACTGAAAATGTGTGGGTATGTCCCAAGGCCTTATTCAGTTAATTCCAGGAGTCTGAGAAAAAAAGAAATGTTTCTAAGCACCTCATGACACTTGGATTGCTTTGAATTATTCTTTACTATGAATCAATCAAACATTTTTTTATCAATGAGCATCCATATAAAGTGTTTCCTTTTTTCCTAGTTAATAGACAGAGAATACACGTTTAAATATAAGGCAGTCTAGAACAATGATCTTTAACCAGCGTGCTGCAGCATCCTCGTGTGCCATGAGATCATTTTAAGCATGTCATGCAGTGCCACTCAATATTAGTACAGGTAGGTGTTCAAACACCTTTATACGATTTACAGATAAAGCCAGAGAATTACAAATGGGAATCCAATAGTGTAAAAAACATTCTGGCCTGTTGTGCTCTTTCTGAGTTCTTTGCAACAAAAAAAATTGCTCTATTATTTTTCTGTAGTCAAAAAATGAGTGAAAGCTAAGAGCTGAAATTTTCTGAGGGGTGCCTTCCATCTAAAGAGGGGTGGCTTGAATCTAAAAAAACCTGGGAACACTAGAAAAACTGAAATAGAAAAAGTAGAGGATGGTAATACAGATTTACAGTGCCCAGCAGTGATAAAATTTCTGTTTTAGACCTTATAATTAGGTAAAGTAACAATCTTTAACTGTGATAATTATTATTTTCAAGAGTAATTTCTTACTGTGCTCCCTAAATATATTTGTTGGTGAGCAAGTCAATTAACATCTTCACTTCCCCCATCTATAAATAGAGAAAATATTACTTTTAACCTTATTCAAGTGTTGTGATGTTTCACTCATTAATGTGTACTGTTATTACTTTCAGTACTGTTTTTCCTCCTAGTGGATCTCAAAGAGTTATATATACATTCAGAGATTACTTCACCTGTTTTTGAAAAGCAGCCATATTTGGGGCAGAACAGAGGCTATTTATCTTTATTAGAACCTAACATATAACAGCGGTAATGTCAGAAACATTAGCATTCAGATTTTTTATATTATGAACAAATATGATTATGTTGCAGATCTGCATGTTGTACAATACCTTATTTAATAAACTGGTGTATGTTTTTTAACATTTAATATGTTAAGAATTTATGGTACTTTGAGAAATGTATGTATCGTTTATCAATTCTGACTGAGGCTATGAAGTTTTCTTTTGAAACAGGGGTACTGAGGAGCCCTCTCCCTGGATATGAAATACACCTTTTTGTGACAGGGGGTGTAGTTCACTTCATTCAGATCAGGGCCAGTGAATGGTCACTATCTTTAATGCTCTTATCAACAATGGTTTAGCTGAAGCTCAGGAGAACCAGTTTGATCCAAACACCTCTGGAGGGGGCTAGAATTTAGAAATGGAAAATTCCCAAATACAGAAAAAAAATCAGGTGTTGACAGAAGAACATAAAACTTATTCTTAGAGCCCTACGGAAAGTACTGGGGCAGAATAAAGAATGTGGTTGTGTAGTAGGAAAGGGCCTTTTTTACAGCAGATAGCCAAAATTAAAGTAAGGTAGCCTGGAGCAGAAAAGAGTCTTTGTAAATCAGGACACAAAATATGAACTGCAAGAGAAATATCCTTGACATCCCAGAGACCCTTTTTAAAATCCTAAATCTCCCAAAAGTTGCAGGACAGGAAAACTGAGGCAGGGAGATGCATCTAGTATTTATTTTACAATGTCTAGATCTGTACATTGTTTGTGTTTTATAAGTAAAGCATATCATGGTTAGAATCCTTTGCATAGACTGTCTGACTGTTATATGTTGTTCCAATCATATTCTCTTAAACAGTGAAACTGTGTATACAGAGCATGCTTAAACTGTAGGGGAACTGCACATGGGGATCTAGGTCTGCATCTTAATCTAGGGAACTGCACATGGGGAGTCTGTAGAACTCTTTTTTCTTTGAAGAGCCTACAAAGAAACTGTGTCAGGAAATGTCCCACAGAGGCCAGGGATATAGTACTACAGCACACTTAGAGGGAAACTAAAAGACAGCAGAGACCCATGGAGGTTGGAATAAATGACCCTTGAGATCTCTCCCAACCCTAGATAGGCATCTGAGTTCCCATTTACTCTTGCTTGGTTGGCAGAGATATTATTACATCATAACAAGAGACATAATGGAATAATATATAGGTTAATGTCAGTCATTTGGGCCCTGATTTTTCAAACTATATACATATATAACTGCTTAATATATTTTGGAAAATGAATCAAGTACATTCTGTAGCTGTAATATAGAAATCACGTGTATTACAATCACTGGTAACATCATAAGCCAAATGTCTGGTTGATTTTTAAATGGAACAAAATGTTAATACAATAACTTTATAACCTCTTACCTGGCCAGGTTCTGCATTTTCACACACATAGGTCTCATAATATTCAGGGAATTCTGGAGCATGATCATTAACATCAAGAACATGAATGTATACAGGGGCCTCAGAAATTTGTTCTGGGTTTCCTAATGGGAAAAAGGAGATCAAGAAATAAGAGTTTCATAATAATTAATTCCATAATTTCAAGAAGATGGGTTTTAAAATTCTCTTTTTTACCTGAAACAAAAATCCTCATTGATGTCCAGAGATAATACTACATCTTGTAAATATTTTCTATCCTATTACATTGTAATATTATATCATTGGGAGTAATCCAGCCCCAAATGCCATCAGATTATTTTAGCAAATAATGCAGATAGCTACGTTTGCAGCAGTAACAAAGGAACATTTCTAGTACTGCAAATCATTTGAAGAAACAACAATCTGAGAGTCCAAGGACTCCCTTCTTTTTATTTTCCTCCTACTCCACTATTATATATATAAAAAATGCCATCTACCATGTCAAATACATATTTTATATTGTAATTAGCACCAGGGACCTGAGGTGTTTTTCTTTGGCCTGAAAGATTATTTAAGATTTCCCCCAACTATACAGGTGGTCCAATGAAAGATATCACCCCTAAAATCCTTTTCTAGCAAATTTGCAGGACCATAACAACAACAACCTCAATTAGTACCAAAACAGTTTAAAACAAAACAGAATGAGTCATATATTAAATATGTGATTCATTTGTTCATTCCTTATGTTATGAATTAGTTTGAATTTTTAAAATGAAGATACACAACCAAATTCATTAGGAAACTTGACCATGAATTTGCTAGAGAACTGACAGAGGCTGCACACTCTCGGTGTATGGTTGTCATCAGTGACTTCAACCACCCTGACATCTCATGAGAAGACCACTCAGCCAAATTTGATTCATCACGAAGCTTGCTCACTTGCATGGAAGAACTCTATTTGACTCAAGAGGTAAGGTGCTGCTGGATCTGGTACTGGCCAAAGGAGGTGATCTAGTGAGTGACCTGAGGACTGAAGGGAAGCTTGGAGATGGTGATAATGAGTTGGTCAGATTCTGTATCCATCACAAAGCTGGCAAATCAGTCAGCAATGAAGAAATCCTTGACTTTAGGAAAGCTGACTTTCATAAGATTAGGAGGTTGGTTGTTGAGGCCATGATCTGACAAGGGGGGACCCACGATGAGTGGTCACTCCTTAAGAACATGATACTAAAAGCACAAAGGAAGCCAATTCTGGCCCATGGGAAAGGTAGCAAAAAGGCTGGGTGACTCCCTTGGCTCAATAGAGAACTCGTGGACCTTCTGTATCTGAAAAGATCAGCTTATAAGGGATGTAAGTCAGGAAATACCGCTAAGGAGGAGAATGCAAGACTGACCCATACTTGTAGGGAGTGAATTAGGAAAGCCAAGGCTGAAACTGAACTCAAACTGGCTATGGGAATCAAGGACAATAAAAAGTCCTTCTTCAGATATGCAGGAAGCTGGAAAAAAAAAAGGGGGCAACATTGGACTGTTGCTAAACCAAATGGGGCAATTGACAACTGACACCCAGGATAAAGCTAATCCCCTTAATGATTATTTTATGTTGGTTTTCCATCAGCCCAAGGGGATCACCGAGCCTGACAGGATGCAGGATTACCAGTGTAAGGGCAAACATATGCCTATAATTGGTGAAGATCTTGTGAGGGAACACCTTGAGAGACTGGACATCCACAAATCAGCTGGTCCAGATGGAATGCACCCAAGAGTGCTAAAAGAGCTGGCTGGCATCATAGCATGGTGAGGATATTTGAGAATTTGTGGAGCTTGGGAGTGGTTCCTGAAGATTGGGAGAGAGCCAATGTGGTGCCCATCTTCAAGAAATGGAAGAAGGATGATCCAGGGGACTCAGGCCAATTAGCTTGACCTCAATCCCTGGAAAGATCTTGGAAAAAAATCCATCAAAGAAACCATTAACAACAGTCTAACAGAAGGCAACATTCTGAGAGACAGGTAACATGGCTTCATTGCATGTAGGTCTTGCCTGACCAACCTCATTTTCTTCTATGACCAGGTGATGCATCACCTGGGCAAAGGTGAAGAGGTTGATATCATATATTTGGACTTTAAAAAAGCCTTTAACTTGCTTTTCCATAATGTCCTCATGGTAAAATTGGGAAAACATGGCCTCGACAACATTATGGTCTGATGACTAGGGAACTGGCTCCGTGGTCAGACCCAGAGAGTGATAGTCAATGGAACCATATCAACATGGCACATGGTGACCAGTGGCATCCACCAGGGTTCTGTATTTGGACCAGTACTCTTTAATATATTTATAAATTATCTGGATTCAGGTATCAGAAGCAGACTGGCTAAGTTTGCTGACAACACCAAATTATAGAGAAGTGTGGTCACACTAGAGGATAGACTGGTGATTCAGTCCAACCTGGACAGGCTAGCAAGGTGGGAGGATCAAAACCTGGTGGCATTCAACACAGAGAAATGCAAGGTGCTCCACTTCGGGAGAAAAAACTCACATCATACTTATAGGCTCAGCAGTGCTACACTCACTAATGCCATGACTGAAAGCAACTTGGGGGTCATGGCTGACCACAAGATGAACAAGAGCCACCAGTGCAATGCCACAGCTGGCAAAGCAAAAAAACAAACAAACCCTCAGGCTTGCATCTACCAATGCATCTCAAACAAGACCCAGGAAGTCATCATCCTAATTTACCCAGCCTTGGTGAGGCTGCAGCTGGAGTACTGCATCCAGTTCTGAGCTCCATACTTTTGGAAGGACGTAGAGAAGCTTGAGAGAGTCCAGAGGAGAGCCATGTGCATGAACAGAGGTCAAGAGAGCAGGCCTTATGAGGAGAGGCTGAGAGGCATGGGACTCTTCAACCCAAAGAAGCAAAGACTCAGGGATGACTTGGTGGCAGCCTATAAGTATATAAGGGGTGTGCATCAGGAACTGGGAGAAAGTCTGTTCACCAGGGCACCCCAAGGGAAGACAAGGTCTAACGGTCACAAACTCTTCCCAGACCGTTCTAGGCTGGGCATAAGGAAAAACTTTTTTGCCATCTGAGTCCCCAGAGCCTGGAATAAACTCCTTGCAGAGGTGGTGCAAGCACCTATTCTGAACACTTTTAAGAAACACTTGGATGCTTATCTTGCTGGGATCATTTGATCCCAGCTGACTTTCTGCCCCTTGGTCAGGGGGCTGGACCCGATGATATCTCAAGGTCCCTTCCAACCCTAATGTCTATGAAATCTATGAAATCCTGTAAGCATATCAGTAGAGATTGACATCTGTCTTGCAAAGAATTCTACAGAATTTAATGAGGTGTGTCTATGCTGAACAGCTTGGAGTACTAGGATGTCACTAGAACTAGTCAAAAAGATATTTCAAAAATGCTATTTTTTCCCTTTTAAAACATTTAACGTTTAATACTTTTCAGCAAAAGCTAATATCACCAAAGTTCCCACTGTTTCAAAAAATACAGCCATCTCTACCCTAAAGAGTTAATGTACAAACCAACTTTTAAGTGATACCCATAAATTGAGAAATTTACTCTGCAGAATGAGGGGCAGTGCATTCACTTTATGGACTTAGCTTCAACCACACATTTGGCAATGGGGAAAGGAAACTGACTTTCCACATATGGACAAATGATTGCTGTGATCTCTAGATATGGTTTGGTTCAAAGCATTTATACTGATTAAAGTTTTAATTTTAAGTCTTATCTGTTCACAAAAGTCAGACTGCCATAAAAAAATTAATAGAACTCTCTAGTGTGGACATAACTATACAAGAACAGCAGTGCTGATGCTGGTATAGGTTAATCCAATATAGAAAGGAGAGTAAGATTTATCAATTTAAAGGATTTTAGTTACAATAGTTACATTCTCAGGAGGGATTTCTAATGGCACAACTATTTCAATTAAAAAATCATATTCTAAATTAAATAATTTGATGATACAAAAAACCTATTGATCAGGTCAAAGAAATATTACTATAAATTTATTAAAGATTCAAGGCATGCCTCAAAGTTACTGGGAGTGAGGACAAAAATTCTCAGAAATATTTTGCAGATTACTAGATCAGACCCATACTGAGAAAGCAAGTGTTGCAAAGACTCTAATAAACATATCTAGTATACATGGCCCTAACACAGCACATCACTCAAGCACCGTATTCCCACTGAAGCCAATGAAACTACTCACATGCTTAAAATATAAAGGCTTTCCAAAGCCATAGGCAAGATGATTTCCAATTAATAGAATGACCATAATATATAGTCCAATGACTCCAAATAAAAGTTGAATGTCAGAAATTCACCCAATTAAACAGACGAGAAGGTACCTGAAAGAATTGTCATAGAAGACAAACAAGCAACCCTTCATTATAGCCTTTTTTCTCTACTCAGGTAAATTAGCCAAATGGACTGTGCAGATCTTTTCTAAAGCTTCTTTTTAATGTATAATTCACTGTTCACCTGCAACAAGCACTTGCTCACACAGATCTTGTAGAAACTGAGCTAATAACTTAGGAGTCTTCTGCGAGACAGAATGATATCAAAAGTAACTACCATGAAAATAGAAGGCTCTATAGATCCATAGCTGGCAAAATCAACCTGCCTCCACTGAAATAGTAGAGCTGTGCTAATTTATGCCCACTGATTATCTGGTCTCCCTAGTAAGCAAGTTAGCTTAGATCCCTATCTGAACATCTTCATATCTTTCCCAAAGGATTTTGAGGGGGATAACATTTCTCATTTAAATCCCAGCATAAACAAGAACTGCTTGGAAAAGTGTGGGTAACACTGACTAAATTAATTATTAAGAAATGAAACCAAAGAGCAATATACATGTATCGCCTTTAAAAAATACTTTTACACTGCAGCCCCTATCTTATTTGCTGGGTGGACATGCAGTATAAGTAGATTTGTTTGGACAGGCACAGTCTTTTGTTGTGTCTGGGTTGTCTATGTAATTTTGCTAAGACATTAGAAAAAAACAAATAAAAATACCCATCAGCTGCAGAACTTGCTGCTGCAGCAGCAGCACATGAGGTGCTCCCCCGGCTGGGAGCCCTCTTGGCTGATGGGGTTCCTAACCATAGGGAAGTACCTGGCCACGGGTTCAATTGATGGTGTGATAAGAATGAGTTACAACGTTATTGCATAATTTTATGTCTTATTCCCTGTTTTATCTTGCCATTAATTGTTTGTACATCTGGCTGGGTCACAATTTAAGATGTGATTAACAGGTTAATCACATCTCAGCTAGGGACAGAAATTACACACAAACTGGTAAAAGTGATCAGAAACTGGTTCAGATCTGTAACACAACAGAAATTCAATGCACATAAACCACCTTCAGAATGGCTAAAAGTGGTTTAAGATAAACCTGGATGGAGGTAGTATCAGACTTAACTGATTTAGGTTAAATTAATTTATTGAACTTCTGTTCTAGATCCCCCCCAGATTCAAGTCAACTTACAGTCCCCCAGCATCCCAGGAAGCTTTGAACCTCCTCTAGAACCTCCACCCGCCTTACAAAGTGGGCAGGCAGGCCTTGCCCCAAGCTGTCTGCTGCAACCAATCAGGGATGTGTGCTCTAGCACTCCCCATCTTCTGGCTTGGGCCCCTGCAGGCATGTGGATACATTTCTGGAATCAAAAGTGAATGTCTGTTCACTGGCTTATCAATCCAGTCTAGATAGCATGAAAAGATTGAACTGATTCAGCCTCAGGCTTTTTCATTGTCTGTATTTAGCCCTGAAGTGTAACATAGATGAGGCCTAAGTGGTAACTTTGCTTATGACTTCACTTCAGTGAATTGTATCACTGAAGAGCCAAAAAGACAATAAAATCAAAGTTATACTATGACTTAATCAGCAATTCTCTCAGGGCTACTGGATGGTATTTTATGCTTCAACTAACAGAAAGTGAATGTGGGAAAACATTCTGGGTATTAACTATCTTCCTCTTCTGAACCAATAATTACTGTCACATAGGACTGAGATTTCTTTTTCCATTTAAATTGTTAAAGTGCTACTCTTTTATGTTTGAATTTGTGCAGATTAGTACCTACAGCTAGATTCAATCTTGTACTGCAGCTCTGCTCAATGTATGACAAGAAGGGTGAATAGGCAGCTGGTTCTGGCTCCCTAAATCTCAGTGCTAACCTGCAAGTTAAAGTTACTAATGGATAGCTATAAATTGTGCTACTTATTTGTAGTTCTTAATGGAACCTGGCAGAGAGAAGCTCTGCCCTAGAATAGTCACCCTCTATACTGAGGAAAGGTGGTAGAAATCATTTGCTGCTACACAAACAACTCCTGAACTCCTGTCCCATTATTGCCTAGGTGCCTAAATATGGTGCAGATACCAATATGGCAAAGGAATCTCCAGCTGAATTTATATCAGATGACTGCTGCAAAGGAACAATAACAACCTTCAGAATCTGATCCATATTATGAAGTTAAATCTTGATACCAATGAGGTTAAATAGGAGGTTTCCCTTTGACTTTTGTAGGGTCAGAATGTAATCTGAAATGTTGTGTGTACAGGCATGTAGGTTGTCGCCATGTTGGTCTAAGGACATAGCAGACAAGGTTCTTTGGGTGAATCTGATATCTTTTATTAGACCAACAATTTATTATTGTTGGTCTAATAAAAGATATCAGATTCACCCAAAGAACCATGTGTACAGGGATATACTCGTGTTAAAATGCCTTGAGATGAAAAAGTAAATCATGTCCATTTATACCCAATCCAATGTGTCCCTTCAATAACTTTGTATATTATTTTATAAAGAGGGACCTTATCATTAAAGACCTAAAGAATATAAGGGGAATAAGGGCTTTCCCCATACAATAAAAATCTTAATGTTTCTTGATGTTGAAATCCCTGCCATTTATTCAGTTGCAGGAAGCACTCAGTTATAATATTTGGTTTTCTCCTTTTTCCATTGTTTAGCTAAACAGAAAAGTCTACCAAAGTCATCCTGCAGTGTTTCCATCGAGCTATTCAAAGCATGACAAAAATATGCCAGAGATACTTTCCATTTCACCATATCATCTGCCAGCTGTCCAATAAAGTGAAAAATAAGATACATTTATGTTTCAAAACTCACAGGAAAGCCAAGACAGCAAATGAGACTCAATTTCCAAACACAGACTGAGGGCTGCAGGAAATGTGACTATGAGCTTTACTATATTAAAGCCCCCTGTGCATTTACTGTTCTGACATTTTTCTTTTGGAGGACGTGTTTAATTTAAATTCTATTTTAATTGTGACCAATTAAAAGCATTTAAAGACACTGAATGTATAGTCCACATGCTAGCCATTAAAATGTTTGGCAAAATGTGGATGCAGTGATAGCCTCAAATGTAATTTACCTTTTCTTTTCCTATGAAGAGTGTGATTAATTTTAAGCAGTAATTTACAACCCTTGTCACACACAGTTCCAAGTTATCAAGCATGTATTTGCTAGAGTGTTGTCCCAGAAACAGGGCAGCCTGATAACCCAACGCACAAAGAGAGGCAATTTGCATTTGACTTTGAGACAAAACTGACAGGTGAAATCTATATAAGGGTTGCTTCCCAGATTTAATTGTCACTGTCAAGAAGTCTAGCTGATTTAGGCCTTACATTCAGAATTAATTTGAGCCACAGGTTTTTGACTGGTGTTAAATTAGACCCTGGCTAATTTCACACTAGTCAAAAATCTGGTGTGAAATTAACCAGGGTCTAATTTAACATAAGATCTTGCACCAGGGGAGCAATTCATATGCTTCAGTGTAACTTGAAAGCATTAGAGTCTCCATCCTATTACAATTTCTTTTTCTTTTTTTTATAAGGTCATCTTTTATGAAACAGCAAAAGACCGTGGAGCTCTAATAAACTCTACTTCCATTGAACTTATCATTTTAATAATGCTCCTTAATGTAACAAGCAACTATAATATAATGAGAAAGTAGTATGCATTCTGTATTTAAAAGAAGTGATATTCTGATGATAATTACACTAAGTGCATGCAATAGATAAAACATAGCGTTCCTTAAATTCTTACTGACTTGCTTCTGTGGCTGTAACAGTTATGTTGTGCCAAGCAGTTATCTCTCGGTCCAGAGGCTTAGTTATAATGATTGTTCCATTTTGTGCATTGATGCTGAACAATCTCTTTAAAGACATGCCATGGACAATAGCATACCTGCACCAAAAAGTAAAGAAATTCCTTAATACTGAAATGTTCCATCTGAAAACAAGGACATATGAAGCTATTGTCAGCTGAGAAAACAGAGCTGTGCATAAATACATGTAAAATGTATGCTGCCATAACTCAGAAATCATGAAAAATATACACTTATAAACATTTAAAATTCACTGCTGCCAAGATCAAAGCTCTTCTTTTTATAAAACTAAATATGCCTCAGATCTATATTAATGCGAACTGAATCTAAAATGCATTATTCATTCTTATTTCTAAGTCAGGCTCACAGCAGGTGAATGACTTGGTTGAAAAGAAAACGCAATAGTGCCACTTGTGAAATGAATAACACAGGCAACTAAGTAGAGGTATAATGGTAAATCTATTGTATCATTGGTGACATGCCATGATGTCAAAGGAATGAAATTAGCCAAAAAAAGAAAGGCAACTATATATAATAAAGGTGTCTCCTACCTGGGGGGAAAAGTCCAAAAGTGAGAAATGACTACAAATGATCCACATTCCAGGTTGCACTGTTACAGTCGTTACCAAAAAAACCCCAAACCTCAATGCCATATTCATACATGTGCTCACAAAATTTCAGTGGATTGAAATAGAATTTCAGTTACATTCTAATCAGTAACCACATATGAGAAACTGAGAGAAGGCAACAATTGAAGCCTGAAGGTAAAGGTTAGAATGGCAGGGACTTTTAATTTTTTTAAGAGTAAGTAAATAAAAATAACTGACTAGTTTTATAAGGCACAGTAGGATTTTATTTTATGGAAGAAAAACCTCTAAACCTCTGTTCATAAGACCTGCATTGGTCCTGTTTGTCATACCCATATTTAATAATTTCCCTCTTCTCCACTTTTCATTTAATTTGACAAGACTTTCTATTATAAATTGGCATATTGGTCTCCTTTGATAGCTGAAATTAAATGCCAATGGTTGGATGGTCCTTTAACTTTTAATTTATAGTTACCATTCAGCCTGTGTGAAAATCATCAAGGTAACAAATCAAGGAACTATCATAATATATGGGTGTCCATTCATTTCAGTTTAGCCAAAAGCTTGTCAGTTTATCTTGTATAAAGCCCTGTTTTGGGGATTTATAACGCAGATCATAAAAATTTTTCGTTCATCTGCATAACCTCCATGCAAACACAAAATGTGTTTGTTTATGATTTTATATGCTTTTCAAAGGGCTTTTTGGGAAAGATTTTAAAAATACGTTTTTTTAATGTAAATATTGGTATTTATGGAAGATATTCTTAATAGTAATGAAGCCTGATTTCTCTAAGATAAGAAAATAGTATCCGGTTATACATTAATGTTTTAAAAATCAGATGCACTTACATCTTCTTTGCCCAATAAATATTATGTGTGTGTAAATGCTTGTAAATGCTTTAAGAGCATCTTCCATTTTAAAGGAAGTCAAAGTGGCACAATGTACATGATTAAGTGTTTTGCTTTATTGGAGTCATAAACACACTTTTACATCACAGCAAATATCTTAATGGAAATATTTTAATTTAGTAAAAGTGCATTTCACAAAAGTTTTAAATATTCCAAGCATGTATACTTCTGCAACAGTCCCCTGAGTAAAAGATATTAAGATTTTTGAAATGTATATGCATTATATGCAATGTGTATATTATATCTGACATTTTATCCATTAATACATTTTTAAGTAAAAAAAAAGAAACTAATATTCAGAGTATTGGAAATATACAGTATATTGAATATTATTTGAAGCTCTAAGGATAGATAATGATAAAGTATATTATGTATTAAAACACTGCTACATTAATTTACCCATAATGGATTGTTTCACATCACTCTTGTTTGGCTTATATTATAGGCTGTCTAAACTAGTTTGTCTGATGAAGCTCCACTGCATCAAGATAGGTCAGGGGCACTTAATCCCAGATCTAGTCCATAGAGCCATGTAATCAAGCCCACAGGGCTCCCCAAGGGTCCAGCAATTTGGTGAAGGGAAAGTGATGGCAATTAATGCTGCCACCACTCCCCCACTGCCAAATGCCCATACCCTACAGGCCAGATGACATGGCAGTGTTCATAGGATCCTCCCTGTGTATTGAGAGCTGGGCTGTGGCAGAGCCACTTCATCCAGTAAATTTGGGACCATCTGGGTAGGGGAAGAGAAGCCCAATCTTGAGTGCACAGGGCTGGGGCTGAGGCACAAGCAGAAAACCTAATCCAGCGTCTGCAGGGTTGGGGCTGGGGCCATGACAAGGGAAGAGGGGCATGATCTAGAGCATGTGGGGCTCAGGCCATCAGGGCCAGGGCTGACACTGAGTGCCCAATCCCATACGTACTGGGGGGGTGGGGGGGGGGGCGGACAGGGCTAGATGATGAGGTATAATCCAGTGCATATGGAGCCAGGACCTGGGTTCAGGGTAGCAAGTCTGATCGAGAAAATGCAGGACTGGTGATGGGGTGGCAAGGCACAATCGGGTGTGTGTAGTGGCAGGGCTGGGACAGGGTGGTATTATCTGGTATGGGGTTGGGACCACAACCACAATAAGGCCTGTGGGACCAGTGTATCTGATTGGGCTCCAGCCATACGCGTGCCGGATTGGGCTCACAGACTGGATTTGGCCTACCAACTCACCTCGCACCACTGCTCTGGCCCATGGGGTCTGAAGATTGGGCACCAATAAAGTAGATGGATCTCAGATGTGAGATTGTCTGTGCTCTGCTCCTCCCAGACCCTACAACATAATTCTGTTCTTCAATGTTCCTTGATTAAACTTGTTGGAGTTTGCTAGTTGAGAAATGACTATGACTAGGGTGATAATACGTCCCAGTTTAGCTGGGACAGTCCTGGATTTTGAAGGCCTGTCCTTACCAGTCAGGGAAAATTAAAACAAGAGTCCCAGGCATGGGGCAGTCTAGTGGGGAGGTGGAGCAGCATGATATGCTGAGCGGCTCTGCCTCCCTGCCAAACTGTGCCCATGCCCCTGCCCAGTGGGCTCTGCCACCACTGCCTGCTGCAGCACCGCTGACTTCGGGGAGAGGGAGGGGACAGTGTCCCAGAACTCCCAGTTGTCCTAGATTTCCTTATGGTCACCCTAACTATGACCCATGGATCTGCAGCTATGTAGAACAAAGGCCACCAGGCCTTGAACCTTTCGTTCTGGCTATTGGACCACAGATCTGCTAGTGCTCCATATCCTCCAGAAGGCCATCATTTGATTCATTATCTTATCTATTGGCCACATGAAGAATGGACATAACAAATCTGTTCCCTTTGGGTTTGTGCAGGGGTCAAAATATGGCCCAAAGCTGAGGGAAATGGAATTTTACTAATCCAGACTATTTTGCTTTGGGGATGTGAATGTGCATTATAGCCTGCTATAGTGTAGGTGTACTCAGTTATAATGAAAGCTACACCTTGTGAAATGTCTTGTGCTAGATTTCACATCATTCCTCCTTGGCACATTTATTCACATTTTACACTCTATACCTGATGGGACTGTTGGTATTGTCTGGATCGCTGGCATTTACAGCCCCTACAAAAGAGCCGCTCTCAGACCCTTCAGCTATCTCCATCACATATTCCTGTGAGGTGAAAACTGGAGGTTCATCAGCATCTTCCACAGTGATCCTGACAAGGGTTGAGTCTTCAAATGGTCCCTCATTCAGAAAACGCTCATCAATGTGCCTGTTGATAACTTTTGCTTTAATACTGTATTTTCTTTTGGTTTCATAATCCACTTTCTGTAGAGAAACAAAGTAGGATGTGGAATTTTTCATATCTTAGCATTTGAAAATTAATAGTAGATTGATGATTGGTGTAAGATTAAAGACTAGTAATAGCTGTATGCAACTTTTGGGATTGTTTTAAAAGTGATTATTTCCAAGATTTCTTTTTTAACTGTAAAAACACTTTAAGTATTCAACTTAGCCTTCGCTATTAAGAGTTTAGAAAATATTACTTTTTAAAAGCAAACAATTCTGTTACATCCTTGTCTCACCATCCAATCTGACCGCCCCCCCCCAAAAAAAAACAACAACAAAGAAAAACAAAACCAAACCAATAAAAACTTAATTTACCACCAGGTTGTTTTTAGGCAGGTGTTGTTAATAAATAATACAGCAGAAATATTCAGGATGTGCCTGCCTTTATTTGAAAAAAAAATACAAAATTGAGGAAAAATATCAAAATGCATGGTGAATTTTAGGATGTGGTAAAGAGAGATGTGGTCTCTCTCCCCCTCTGACCATCAGGGGATGAGAGCAAGGCATGGATGCAGGTCTTGGACTGGTGGGGGACCGGACCAGACTGGAAGTAGGGAAAGAAAGTGTACAAAGAAAGGAATCTGCTTACCACTACTCCTCTCCTTGGCTGACTCAGGGGTGGGGAAAGCCCCAGAGCTACTCCAGACAGTGGTTGTGGGGAGCAGCTGGGGTCAACAGCAAAAGCAGGTTCTTTCTTCTAGTGCTTGAGCAGCCCCCCATTCTGAGGTGTCCTCCACTGGCCAGGTCTTAAGTGCAGAAAGCAGAACCTCTGCACCTGCTGCTGTCATTGTTCCTAACAAAGCTAAGCTCCTCAAGCAATCACTTCCCATAGCCCCTGGCTTGAGCAGGGCAGGAGTAATTCTAGGGGTCCTCATATGACTGCTTCAACCAAGGACAGTGTTGGGTAGGCTTCTCCTTCCAGTACCTACTCTTGGCCAATGGGTGACACAGGAGTGGCAGGAACCCGATGCAGAAAGAGGAAATTTGCTCCTTGCTTCACTTATCCCTTGCAGAGCCTGGCACCCTGGGTAACTGCAGCCCATGGCTGCAGCATGGGAAAAGCAGCTCTGGAGCTTCTACCATGTCTGGGTCAGCTGGGGAAAGTGCTGGCTGCAGCAGCAGAAGGATGGATATATCCACATTCCCACCCCCGCACCCCTAGCCTCCACCCTGGATCCACCCCTGGCAACATTAGCTTCTATAATCTGCAACATTTCACTGAAGTGCTGACTTAATCTAAATAAATATTTTTCTTTTTTCTCTGTAGGTCTATGATAGAAGTTTTATTTTTAACTTTCCATGACTTGGAAATAGACTGAATGAAAGAATTTACTTTCTGTCTTTTTCCTTCCTGGTAAGGTTTAGAGTGGAATTCTTTCATCAATTTAGGTCCAGGGAAAGAAAAAGCAGACTCTCTCCCTCTGAGAGTAATAAAATGGGATAGGTTTCATTGTAACCAATGACTTCTGAGCATGTTTTCATCAAATATATCATTTTTATTTATGCACCGTGGTGTGTTCTATCTTAAGATGTTAATATGTTTTGCCACCAGTGAATTAAATGTATGAATGACTCTCTGAAGAAGAGAAATAATAATCTGTTCATTTTACAAATGTGGAACTGAAGCAGAGGCTAAGACATTTTATCACAATCATATAAGGAGCCTGTTGAAAAACTGAGAATTGACTCCAGATAGCTTAAGTGCTAACATTGGGTTTTAGCCATAAGCAAGCAAGCAAACCAAATAACAAACATACTTTCTAAACTACCCAACACTATTCCAGAACCTATTTTTAGTTAGATCATTAGTGGCTAAGGAAGCAAGAAATAGTAGTATAGAAACAGTTGCATGCATTTTTGTTGACTTTTCAAAAATATTTAGTGACATATCTCGTTTTAGTAGATTTTTTTTATGCCTAACCTTTTTTAATATAACAACTCCTTCTTGGGTTTCATTATCTGTAATGATGTCAAAAACATAGGAGGCATCTCCTTCAATGACATAATTCATGGCTGCATTTTCCCCTATGTCACTGTCATCTGCCATGATTTTGCCTATGGTAGTGCCCAGTGGTGCAGCTTCAGAAACAGTCATATGGTACAGTGCTTAAAAAAACAAAAAGTTACAATCACATTAAACTTTGTCAATGATTTGTCTTAACCCAAAATTTTAGCATGCAACATATGGACTAGAGCAGGGTTGCTCAACCTCTGGCCTGTGAGCCACATCTGGCCCATGGAGCCAGGTGATTCGGTCCACTGCACCCCCCAGGGCCCAACAATTCAGTGGCAGGAGAATGGTGTTAGCATCAATTTTTTAAATGCCAATTTTCTGAACATGTGTGCAGCCCAATGAGCCAGATATCATAGCTCTATACAATAGATTAGGTATATGAGGCTGAGCTGAGATAGCACCAAGCTAGGGTGACATGGAAGCTGATCTTGGTGTGCAGGGCCTGATATGGGCACATGGGGCCCTGCACTACTCATCTGCTTCATGGGACTGAAAGGTTGAGCCCACTGGGCTAGGGGACAGCAGGCATCCTTAAGACAGACTGCTGAAGAAAATGCATATGCCTGATAACAAATGGGAAAACTGTTCCCTGAGCCTCCTATTGCAGTGTTCAAACTGATGTTGAGTTATCCTTGTTCTTATGTAAAGGCGGTAGGGAGGACTAGCATTCTACAGCATTAAAAGGGTAGTAAAATAGGAGTAGGGTAGGGGTGCTCAATCCTTGGTCTGGGGCCAGATCCAGTCCATGGAGCCATGTCATGCATCCTGCCTGGCTCCCAATGGGTCCAAAAATTTGTTAGTGAGGGACTGATGGTGGCATTAATTGCCAATCCCCTGATGCCACATTTCCAGATCCATGGGGAGCCCAGAGGACTGGATAGCTTGGCCCTGTGAGCTAGATGGGGTGCTGAGGGTAGAGCTGAGGTGGCACCAGGCCTGATCTGGGCATGCCAGGTTCTGCACCTGGTTCTGGCAAGCAAGGCTGAACATTGCACACCAACACAGCAAGAGAACTGACCCACAGAGCAATTCTACACCATTCATCTGGCCTGTGAGGCTGCAAGGTTTAGTACCAGTGGAATAGGGAATGCAGCCAGAGGTTGGTCTCCACTGCCTTTTTCCCTGTTAGTGTGTGGGATGTAATGAGGAAGAGAAGAGGAAGTCCAATTTTACTATAAAGTTTGGTTATAAATATAAAATAATTAGGCTGTATGCATTTACAACAAATCTATAATGTGCACTATCATTATTAGTTGCTGTAAGTAAACTTAAGTCAAAACTATTTCCTACCCACCACTTCATTCTGAAATCACTTGTTTTCTACTTTTTTAAAATTATAATTCATTTCAGAGGAATGAACCCACAAGGTATCAGAAGCAAGACATGTTAAACCTTCTCTTTATATAGACACATGTGCATGTGAAATCATACACACTTTCTCTAGGAAGAATACCATTAAAATGTGCATTTCTGTATTAAGCAGCAAACATATTTCCCCCCTGAGTAAATACTAGAAAGCAAGACAATGCAGTGGTGCTTCCCATTTAATAAGTTAAAAAAGGATTTAGAAAAAATAACTTTACAGTTGTCAATATATCAACTTAATAAAGAAAAAGTATTCTGTACACTTCAGTGAAAAAATTATTTAGGTTTCCTAAAATTGGTACTTCTTATCCCAAAGTAGTAATGAAACCTTGTATTGGCTTGGACTCCTAGCTTTTTAGTAGGAGCTACTTTTTGAAGAAAAGTTATTAGTTTATTAATCTTTCATTTAAATATATGACATTAGGTAAAATATAGACCTGATGTAAATTGTACTGGGTTTACTCCTGGTTTTAATTTTTCCCCAGTTAGTTAAAATTCCCCCACCTTAGTTAAAATTCCTGGCCTCTACTCACTATGTTGAAATTTAGGGGCATTGTCATTGATGTCAGAGAGGTTGATAGTTACAGTTGCTGTTTCTGAAAATCCACCCATTTGCCCAATCATATCTTTGGCTTGGATGATGATAAAGTATTTCTCCTGAGTTTCTCTATCCGTTTCAGAAGAAATTCTAATGACTCCTGAAAGATACAATAATCATCAATTACTTAAGTATACATTTCCCCCCTAAGACTTAGCTATGAATTAAATGCAAAATAAGATTCAGTATCTTAATGTACAAATTGATTAGACACAAAGCACATGGAATAAAGACTCGTTGAAATTTTCTCAGATTTAAATGTATTACACTGTGTTCACTGAAGTAAGGTGACCAATCTAAATCGAGTGTGAGTTATTCCATTGACCTAGTGGGCACATTCAGATGACCATGGAATGCAATTTTCAGCATTTCAGACCTGTCTGCAGCACTTCAAACCATATGCACTGCACATGCAGGTGCTCATTGCACTGCTAATTTGCAGCATGGTAGGTTTTTTTGACACTGGGAGATCCCAGTGTCAAACCCCACACTGCTAAAATAAAGAGTATGGAGCATGTGCCTGCAGTATGTGCCAGCCAGCACCTGAGCCTGGTCAGCCAGAGATATGCTCAGGCTGCTTGCCAGGCTCTCTGTGCCTGGATCACCATTGCTAGAGCACTGGGAGGCCCCCAGGACTCTAGGTATGGCTGCTGGGCCTAGCCCAGTGCTGGCCCCAGTCTCCCTTACCCCACCCAGGGCAACTTGCAGTGCGCCAGAGCGTACATGCAGAATGTTCTCCAGGGACAACTAGCAGCAGCATAAATATGTGCTGCTCCTGGCTGTCCCCAGGAATGCATGTTCCTGCTCATAGAGATGTGCCCAGTGGTTCCAAATAACCCCTAAAGACCTGATTCAGAAATAGCCCAATTAATGGGTGGCTTTCCATTGAATGAAATAGGATCTGCCCTAAATTTGAAGACATTCAAATACCAGTTGTAGACAACATTATAGGCCAATGACATAAGGAGGTAGGATGATGAGTTAATTTGAGAAAATTATATTTCTCCTTGTCCTGACAAAATAAAATGACTGTTTATTCAAATCTATCACTGGCACCTAGATATTTTACGTTCATGAACAAATGTCAGGTATACATAACAATACCTGTTTTTGGCTCCACAGAGAAATAGGGCTGCCCTTGAATTATACTATAAAGCAGACGTGCATTGTATCCATAGTAAGGATCATCTCCATCGGTGGCTGTTACCTGTATAACAGAAGTACCTGAAAAGCAAGTGCATATAAATAAGGAGTTTATACAAATGAACTAATAAACCTATCTTGGATTTTAACCATTATTAAAGTATTTCTCTTTTACTCAATTGTATACTGTTTTCCTTTTATTCACCTAATTTAATATATATTATTTCATCATTACACAGAGCACCTTTCTTAAAATCATGTCAAGTGTCTAATTATTGATAGGAGGCAAATTTTGTATCTTGCAAAAATAGGCACAGAAACAGGAAAAAGAAAATTACTTTCTCCTCTCTAATTTAGATTAAACCAAACACTATCTTGTGAATTTTAATGGAATTATTATTTAACTGTAAGTACTGTCTTTTCTCATTGGCTTTTCTAATTTATGTTCTACAAATAGGAACTAAGAGATTTCCACCTTGAATATACTTTAAGATATTTTATTTAAGTTCTCCATATGACCACAAAACAAAGAGTCTGTATCAACAGCAGGCCTGAAGCATGGCTGAAAGAAATAAACTGTTAACAAGTAAATCAGCCAGGAAATACAAGAAAATTTTGATAGCAGTTTTTTGTATATTCTCGGTCTTTTAATGAGCTGCCCCTACTGCAAAAGAAATAGCAGAATCAATCTGCAGAACATAATTTCATCTTTAATTGGGATTTGGTTATGTTCTAGATCTAAAATTGGCAGGATCTTCCTGGAGCTGTCAACGAGGGTATCTTTGCAAAGGGAATATTTCTCAGCAAATTATTTTATAATGATGACTTCAATATTATTTCTCACCTGCCTAATGTAAGGAACAACAGAAGAAAGAGCACCTTCTTATGACTTTCCAACATGAACACATTATTACCTATCATAACTAAAGTCAGAAAATTACATTTTGAGGTGATAGTAATTTTGATAAATGAGGGGAAATGTTTTTGTTTTTGTCTGAAATCTTTGGCAAACCCAAAAACTGAAATAAAATCTACTGTAGAATGAAATATTTGAGTTGAGTTTTGTAAAAAATGTTTTAAAATAAAGTTGAAGTAAATTTTAAAATGAAATATCATTTTGATTTGAAGAAATTAATGAAATGTTTTGGTTTCTGAAGTCATGACATGTTTCAGTCAACCTGAATCTTCATTTTGAAATGAAAAATATTTGGACAAAAATTCTCCAGAGATTTGGGGGCCCTGGTTTAAATTGCAGTATGTACTCTAAATATGTTGCTTAAATAAACACTGCTCTCTTGATATTAAAAAATCTATTAGAAATTTATCAGAGTTGTGGCAGGGAACCTTTGGTGCCTGTCACTTTAAGGTCTTGGGCAGACAGAACAGCAGCCTGCAGGTGACAGCAGTGCCAATCACAGAGAGTTACATGGCCATCAGGAGGCCACCTGATTGGAGGAGGGCCTGGCTGCTGGAAAATAAGAGCAGGCCCTGAGCAATAAAGCTGACAGTTGCTGCAGGGAACTGAAGGAACAACATCTCCTGGCCAGAATACTGCTGCTCCCAGAACACCTGGAGGGCAAAGGTAGGAACTATGGGGATGGAGGAGGTTCCTGGTCCTAGGGAATGACCTAAAACTACACATTGCTGGGGTTGGATGGTGTGATAGGGCTGCTTGTGGCATGGCATTCTCCAGGAAATGCCACACCTGTGCCCCCCAGTAAAAGGCAAGTGTGGAGTGCCAGAAAGCCTTAGCTCCCACTGCTTTGTGGATACCCTATGGAGGGCAAAGGCTAGGGGAGCATACCCCGACAGAAAAGCACAGGCGCCCAGGTCCACTGAATGGGGCTTGAGGTGGGATCCAGACCCTTTGAGTGGGGCCTGCGACAGGGCTGAGGTCCACCTACAGGGACCAGAGGCCTGGGGGGGCATAAGGCCCAGAAGCCACAGTGATGGGATGCAATAGTGGTCCCAGTGAGGGGGCATAGTGAGATCTGGCAGCTGTGTAGAGTAGGGCTCTAGGGGGACTGAAGGATTACACCAGAATTGTTGTAGTTGAGACCCCAGTGAGAGAGCATGTATCCCAGGCACATTTAAAGGATGTCTGAGGTCAAGTTGGGCCAGAGGCCGTGTGTGGCCCAGTTAAGGGCCAGGGGAGTAATACTGGATAGTAATTTGGATACAATCTGTGAGGCATGGAACATGCTAAAGGGGAGGTTTGGAGCCGTGTATCACACCCTTGGCATTAGGGTATCAAATGGGTAGCCTCCTGCCTAAGAAACATCAATTCTATTACATAAAAGGCATAGCAGGCGAGTTAGGTAGGGCAGACTGCCTGTAACAGGTATCCGCTCTGGGCTGAGCTAAAATGTGGCCTGCACACCTGTTCCTGGGGCAACCGCCCGCCTTCTCGTCTGCCATGCCTTGCTGTTAATTAATTAATTGATGTTAATTAGCGGGAGGCTGCTCTTGTACTGCCCCGCTGCCAGGGGGCGCTATCTGCGGCTCCATTTCCTCCCCTACACCGCAGTCCACACCTCGTCGATGGAATAGCCATTATGTCTCGGCCTTATCACAATCTGGCCCCTCTTTGTCCTCTCCGGGTCTTCCTTCCTTTGATCAACAATGCTGCCCCCTCTCTGGGGCCCCCCCTCTGGGGGCCCCCCCCACCCACACTGGGACTTCTCAGCCACTGCCCCTTCTCTGGGGTCTTTCAGCAATGCTGCCCCCTCTTCGGGGTTCACCGTGCCTGCACTGGGCTTCTCACTAATACTGCCCCCTCTCCGGGGCTCACTGTGCCTGCGCTGGGCTGCCCCCCCTCTCTAGGCCTTCTCCGTAATGCTGCCCCTCTTTGGGGCCTTCTCTGTAATGCTGCCCCCACTCTGGGGCCTTCTCTGTAATGCTGCCCCCGCTCTGGGGCCTTCTCTGTAATGCTGCCCCCGCTCTGGGGCTGGGGGTTTATGCACCCCGAATGCTACACCCTCACTGGCGCTGGGGTCCTCACACTCCACTGTGAGTCCCCTATGAGGCCTCCTCCAACCCCTAATAGCCTCACCCAAACCACTGGTCTTGTAACAACAACAAAACACAAGCCCCTGGGCTGTAACATAAACAGAAGCCACCTGGCCCTAACAACATTCGGTCCTACCAGTGACCCTTTAACTCTCAGCAATGTTGGATGCAGCTCCTGTATCAGGTTTCCCCTCTCTCCCGGGGCAGAGAGCTCCTTCCTCTTTGGCAGCTGGCAGGGAACTGCCTCTGGCCCCAGCCCCTAGAGTGTATAAGGGAGCCAGGCCCTGCCCCTTCTGGTCAGCTGACCTTCCCTGGTTGCCCCAGCAACCTACAGCTGGGCTCCTTATTCCCTACTAGGGAGGAAGCCCCAGCAGTTTCCCCTCTTTGGGAGCAGGGCACCTCAGTGCTCTGTGACACTGCCCTAGACACGTGGATGGACTGACACTGTGATCGGCCTCTGGATGGCCCCCTGTCACAAGAGTAAAGACTTCTTCTACAACTTGGCTAGTCTGGAGGAAATAGATATTCATTTGCCTTTCACTTTAAGTGTGTCTGGAACAAAGGGAGAATACAAACCTCAGAATGTTACTTTAATATCAGGCTACTGTTACATACATCTATCTATCTATCTATCTATCTATCTCTTTTAAGATTATAAGATACCTTTTAAGATACCTTATGCAGATTATAATCAATCATTATAAGGTTTCCAAACAACAAAGTGTATTTTTCAAATACGACTGAAGAGTAAAGGAAACATGGGCACTAAACTCAACTCAAAACAAAGTGTTGTCTAGAAACTAAAGGTCACCAGAGATCTGTTCAAGTTAGTTACTCCAAGTCATATGAAAATCACCCTAAGTAATATAATATGAAAATAATTCATTCCTTTTGAAGTAATTACATGATAGTGTTGAAGAAAGCTACCACTTTGGATAATCTGATTGATAGAAATGTGACTGATGCTATCTCTGAGACAGGAACAAAACTGCAATCAGTAAAATTCAAATGTGCGCCATTTTATGGGATTTTATTTAATAGATCAGGGATTTAAATTAATAGAAAAAGAGGTTATTTACCTGACTGTGATATTGATGTTAAAGCCTTATGGGCCTTATTTTAGTTAAATTCCTGTGGGCATATCTACACAAGATGCTATGTCCTGCACCACCAGGACTCCTCAGTAACAATCGCACAGTCAGGGTCATGTGTAGACGTGTTCTGTTTTATATTCTATGAATGGTGCTGGAAATTAACATCTGAAGTTGTAATAAAGTATGTTATCCTTATGGCAAGCTCCCTTTGGTTGCTTATTGGCTTTTGTAGGGTATGGTTTAAGAGACATTCAGGTGGTTTTAAATAAGCCCAGAAGCTGGGTACAATAGGAAAAGTAAACAAGTAGTAGAAATCCAGTAAAAAGAAAACAGGCACAAGGGAGGAGCAAAAGCTACTCTCCAGCCTGAACCTCAAATTTTGAATATAATGTGAATGTGAAAGAATTCGATTTCTTTTGGGGGAAATTGGCTTCTCAGGTTTCCTGGGAATGGTAATCTTGCAATTCTGATAGTAACCATTGAATTAAATATTGACTGAGTGCTAGGTGGCAGGGTACTATCATCTCATGACTATATCTAAAGGTACTTTCCTTCCCAGTTTTGAAGTTCTAACCCAGAATGAAAGTTATTTCTTTATGAACTTTAACCCATAGTAAGAAAAGCAAACAGTTGCCTGCATGTAACTGTGGTTCAATAAGCACACTGACCTGGGCAGTTAGGCAACAATTATAAAAAGCTGCAACTGCTAATATTATGTTTTTAACATGTGAAAACAAGTAAAAAGGATTTCTTTGCTTAGGGAAAAACTAAAAGAGCATGTAAAAAGACATACTTTGTACCGGTTAAATTACACATTTTTAAGATGTTCCCTGATGTTACAGGACTGAAATGGTCTAATGGCTATTGCTCAGAATTATGATACCATTTATGATACTTATCATTTATGTGAAAATGGATATATTTAAAGGACAATGGCCCTGACCTTGGGATACTGAAGACGAACATTAACTGAATATGCTTGTAGTCTTCGAACATTGTCCAAAGTGCAGTTCTGATAGGCATTTCAACATTAAAAACGTATTTTATGTTCTCAGAAACTATTGCTTCTGCATAATAAATTTGTTTTATGCCACAGTAGAATCAAACCTGGGGAAACTGCTTTTTTTTTTCCACCTGACTGCCATTTCAGATTTTTACTTTGTTTTTGTAGCCTTAGTTTTGAACTATGATGTAAAACATTACTGTGTCATTTACATATTGCAGCACATTAGATAAGCTACTGGAGAATTATATGGGACATATGTATTCATTTTTCTAACTGAGGCCTCATATCTGAACATGTTAAGTATAGATATATCATTGCAGGTGACTTTTAATCACTCTATCAAATATACTACGTTTGTAAAAATGTAACTGCTATATGTGAGAGACTTTATGTAAAATCATACCAAATGCCTGAGGGAAAACCATAGTCTTGTACTCCCAGAAGAGTCCATTTACATACATTTCATTTACTATGGCACTTGCATATAAAACCCTAATAAAATTCAAACGATGAAAATATGGGCAAGCTGTGAAAGCATACTAAAAATTATGCAAATGTGTAGTCATATTAATATAGATGTTGATACTTCAACCTAACTTTGGGTTAATTTTGTAGGGGCCAGATTTTGTGTGTGTACTAAGGGAAGCAATGTGTGATTGCCTAGGCATCATTTCTCATCTTATTCCCTTGCTACGTGCATAATATCTGCTTACAGATAACAGTTTTCCCCAAAGCTATATGCTCACTAGGTGATGACAACATCTGAAGGTTCAGAGATTGATTGTTGATGTCACACAAATTTCTGGCATGGTGCAAGAGGGAAAACAAAAAATATTCCTAGGGAAATTCTCATCTGAAGTAATCCTAGGCCAGAATAGATAAGCAAACTAATATCCTTAGCTCAACTGACAGGCAATGGATGCCAAATATTTCTACTGGGCTGGTAGGTTAGTATACCCACCTTCAAGACTGTTTTTTAATATGGAGGAATAGATTCAGATCCTCAGATATGCTTGCTGTACCTTGCTTTCAGGTGCACATGCTAAAAAGTGAGGCATAGGGTAAGTTCTGTGCAAAGTCTTGTGTTGTTTTGGCTAGACTGCTTCCAGTTCCCTAGCTAACTTGTTTGAAGCAAGACTGGTTATCTCTGCACTCACATACAGTCTTTACTGTCAATATAACTGGTGTAAAAAGTGGCAGGCCACACCATAACTGGGTGTAAAAGAAACAAAGGGAATCAGTGGGGTATAAACATTGACGTGACCATATCATCAGTGCCCCACGGTTTCCCACAGCACTATAGTGAAAACAGGGGGAGCTGACGTGTGGGTGTCCCAAAAAACAGCAGGATTTGACCATGATTCACATACATGACTGGATGATCAGAAGGTCATAAATTCTATTGTTTCAGCAAGCTCAACAACCTGTCTCTACAAAGAAAGCATACAGGGAATTTTGATTCTTTTTAAGTCTCATCATGCTCATTGTGGTTTCTTCTGGTGTGTGTGATATATAATGTGTACGTGCACACACAGGCACACATGCATACATTTTCTTTTTTCCTAAGATATTCTTCTAAGATTATATGAGAGATATTTGTATTCAGTAATAACGCTGGAAAATGTTATATATACTGTATTATATGTAAATTAATATATAATATTGAACTATAGAAACATATATGTATAATATTTATTTATATAATATAATCTATATAAAATTTCCCAGCATTATTACTGAATACAAGAATCTCTTATATAATCTTAGCGGAGTATTTTAGGAAAAAAAGAAAACGTTCATTGCTTTAATTAAACTTATGCTAGAAGTCCATGATGTATTAGAAATGAAAATACATAGTAGGTGTCTCAGGGGATTAGAACAGGTTTTTGAGTTTTTAATTTTTAGCTTGTCAGATTATATCTGGCTCAGATCAGTAGTAACTGACTGCTTATTGATGATTTCAGATAAGTTTCTAGGGAACAAGTGTCTACATAGAAGAACTACCTCTACAATTGGCCTTAACTGGTATCCTTGTTAGTAGGTTATACCAAGAGGCCAAGTTTATTCCCTTGGAGACAAAACTACATTGTTACCCTTAAAGGTTGAGGCTTATTGGGAGGGAAGCTTTCAGGACTAAATCCATCTGTAGGTCACTGAAAAATTATATGATTGTGTCATATCCTCAGGATGTGTTAATGCTGTTTTATAGAGTAAGTACCATTTCCTCCTAGGTTTATGCCTGCCTTCCAGAAAAACTAAAGAGGGGAGGAGAGAGACCCTGTGGAAAAAAAAGGCTGCCAAGGTAGGAAGCCATGACAGTGGAGGTCCCAGCCTATACAGATAATCATAATTAATAAAAGCTGAGTATAACCTGGGTGCCTGGGAGACAGACTGATTAAATAGCTCTCCTCAGTAGTTTCAGTTGGTGGTGTTAAAGTGTCTTCTAGAGCTATGGATGTAGAAAGAAGCTGCTCACCAAGTGACACTGCACTGGCCGCCCACTAGCCCCCCCAGAATAAACTTGCTTTCTTGGAAGGTAAAAAAACAAGCTGGCACAGGAAGAGAGAGTTTACATCTCTCCATGACAGATTCAGTGAATCTGCCCTAACAGCGAGTGGGTAATGCTGAATGATGCATAGTTTTTATTACTTTTTATGATCACTGATGCTATTGAGGTAATGAGCTCATTAATTCACACAGTTTTAACTAGTACGCTATTTAGATTTCTTTTCAATGTTATTTGCAATGGAAATAATCAAAAGGGAAGGAAATAAAAATCAAAGAGATTAATGAAACCTCTCCAAAAAAACCCAAAATTAAAGAATCCAATTTTTCCAAACTTTTGAGACAATAATTTGGAGATAGAATGATCAGGTTATAGATATTTTCATTTTCTATTTTTTTTTTTAAGTAGAAGGGTGTTTTTGCTTCTTATATGTGATGAGAAGATGCCAAAATCCAGCCCAGATTCTCTCTACTCCTAATACAGGATCAGAGAGAGAAGTACACATTATTTTCAAGAGCCTCCATTTTTGTGCTCCTTTCGCAAGAAAGGCAATATTCCACCCCCCCATGCTTACAGAATTAAGAGACTTTCTCTTTATTACATTCCTTGGGCATAATTCATTCCAAAGAGAGAAAAATTAGCTGGGAGAGGAAGCAGGTTCACCAGTCTAAAGACTGCACCGGCATGGCAAAAACACTCTTACTTCAGGGCAAGCAAAAACTCTGTCACTATTCTTCTGGAGACAATGCTGATGGCTCGTGATTTGAAGAAGACCCCTTTCTGTTCAATTTATAGGGGAGGTCAATGCATGTCACATAGGGTATAACAAGGACTATGCTTTAATCCCTATGCAGAGTCAGCATAGATTGAAGGAGGTATATTCAATACTTTTCTGTTCACTTCTTATTTATATACTTATATATACTTGGAGTTAATAGAAATCATAGTCCCTCAAAGTTTACTTCTTTTCCTTGACCCCCGCCCTTCCTTTTTGGATATGATTACACACCAAAAGGACTGATAGGCTGTTGCCAGTAAAGATCACATGTAGAACTATTTGAAAGAGTAGAAGAGTGGTGCCCTACCCTAATTTAAATGCAAGCATTTCATTACCTCACCTTCAGTTCTCCTTTGTATTCTGCTTGACCTGAATAAGGTATGCTATGTTGTCTTGTTAATAAATGACTGCCATTTTCAAACCTAGGGATGACTTGTGTGGTGAATGAAGAGCTCTGTGTATCATTATATACCTGCTAATTAGGACCCTAAGCCAGAAGACATAAGTACTTATCTGTTCAAAACAGAACAGAGTAGAATCTTAGGCCATGTGTAGACGAAATGAGGGGCATGTGTGCACAACACTTTAAAACAGGCTAAATGCTTTTGCACCGCTTTAATGGTGTCGGTGTTTCCATGCCTCGGTGGCGTATTGTGCATTAATTCTAGCCATTGTAGGAAATTCAGCGGCGTAATGCACCTTAAATGACTTGGGGTGCAGCAAACTAAAACTCCTCCAACAAAGCACTGGGCTCTGTGCAGCTCTGCGGTCCTGCAGGCAGCCTGACAGCAGCCAGGGAAAGCAGGCTCCACCCAAGAAAAGCAGACAGCCTGATTTTGTCCTTCTTCCCCTGGAGCTTGCATGCCTGCCTGCCATAGCTGCACGGGGACCTGGTGCTTCCCTCCATGACTGCAGTGTCCCCTGGGACCACCCAAGCTGGGTGCCTGTGGGCAAGTGTCGCCTGTGGGGGAGGGCATCACTGCTATGGAGGGAAGCACCAGCCCCCCCGCAGCCCAGGGACCTCTCTGCCCACCGGTAGCTCACACTCCCCTCCCCACCAGAGAGGCAGATAAGTCACCAGGGTGTGTGCATGACAGGGGTTAAAATCAGCCCTAAATTGAAGCAGTGTTTTTTAATGCCCCCCCACCCCACTTCAATTTAGGGCCCCCATTTCATCTACACATGCCCTTAGGGACTAACTTGTCAGAGGCATACATTTTTGTATGTGACACCTTGCTTCATCAGAATCATCTGAGGAAGTTGGGTATTACTTACAAAAGCTTATGCCTCCCTGAAAAAGTTAGTCACTAATTTCTCATCTTACCCTCCCTTCTATCTTTTGCCTGACTTCAGACTAACCTTGTCAAATTACCTCTCTCTGCCCAAAGGCAAGCATACTGGTGCGTTCAGTAGGACTACAGTTGGGCTTACAGATAAGCATATGCACAAATCTTTGTACATTTCTAAGTTTTTAATTTCTAAACACTGTGGAACCTCTCCAAATCAAAGCCACTTTATAAAATACATTATTAATATTTTTAAATAATATGAATGCCCTCCAAAGCATAAAATATAACACCAGCTTCTTGACATTCTGTACCTTCAGGAGACATCTCAGGAACAGTGGCCTCATAAGGTCCATCCAAAAACTGTGGCTTTTGATCATTGATATCCTTAACTTTGATGACAAATTCTGATTCAGGTTCCATGGGCAGCTGAGTATTCCTGTTAATTGCCTGCGCTCTTAGAGTGTACAGGGCTTTCTTTTCTCTATCAAGTTTCTGTATCACGTGAAGGACACCCGTTGTCTCATTGATGGTAAAAATGCTTCCAGCTCCCTCACCAGTCAAAATGTATTTAAAGGTGCTATCCTCTTTGTCTAAATCAGACTTCAGCTGCAAAGACCAAAGAGAACAATTTATTCTTCTGGATGACATTTGAAAATAATTATACAAAATAAAAATGTGTATATATTTTTTGTATTTGAAACTAAACACCAATGATCTTGCATAGGGAACATTATTTAATCGAGGTAACAAAGTACTATATACTATGCATAATTAGCCATGGAAAAGATGTGGTCATTTAATAACTAAAATCAAACTAAACTTTTAAGTCAATGGAATGTAAGCATATTCATAAGAAGGCTTATTAAATCAGGGCCTACACACTAATCAAAAAGATAATGAAGAGGGAATATAGGAAAAAAAACTCAAAGATTTTTCTAAATTTTTTTATATCAAAGGACAATAATTTGCATATACATGCACACACTTTTGTGTGTGCATGTGTATATATTTGTATCATTTGAAACATATAGGACATAAACACATAGGACTTCAAGGACATCAACAACTAAACTTCTGAAACCAGGAAATACCAGCTACTGTAAACATACCTGGAAAATAGAGTTACGGTACACACCAACCTGTTCTACAAAGGTAAACTTAGCCCCTTTGAGCTGGTGGGAACATTTGGAAACATACTATAAGTGTTTCAGTCATAGCTACCCTGTAGTTAACAGATATGAGGAATAACTAAATGAATGGTTCATTTTATAAGCAGTGCTGTATCCCACAGATTGTGTTCCATTATTTATCTTCATATATTCTCCCTGCCATTTTGGTGCTAGAAATAAATGTATTAACTAGTGCAAGCATTTGTGTAGGTTCTTATAACTCATATGAAGATAAGTGCATATGTCTCTAAACACATCAGAGCCCCTCATTACTGGGCCGCATCATTTTCAGTAGTATGTTGGACATCATTCAAATAAGACAGACTTAAGTCTTAAACTGAAAGAGGTGCAACTGACATCTTGATGTGTATTTTCTGTTTTTCAGAGACTGATATCTGTTTCATATTTTTTCCTTGGTTTTTTTTGAGGAAGTCATTGAAGAGAGAGGGCATGGAATTAGCAAGGAGGAACAGAGGTAAACAGCAGCTTCTATGTGCAAAGTTAGGAATAATACAGGGTAAAAGAGCTAGTCATAGTTTTCTATAGCTCTAAAAAATGTTGTAGTCAGCAGATGCAAAATGTCACAATGACTCGCACACAGAATCTTCGTCCCACTACATATGCATAAATGACCATCTCTAGCTTACCAGATTGCTATGGGCCTGGTCTGGATTGATATCAATGATAAGTCCGTACCAATTTGGAAGAGGGTCCAGAGTTTATGGCCCAAGTGCAGGTGAAAAAATGCTAAAAAACATAATATAATATTTATGTCATGTAATTTATTTATTTATTGTAGATGGTAGTCAGGAAATGAGGGTTTATGGAAAGGAGGTAACATTTCCAGAATTCCTTGTTCAGATGACTTTAAATTTGGACTACTGTAGCAAGTTGGGCTCCAGGGGTGACTGTGATGCCCCCTGTTGACCATGCAACTCTTGCTCTGTTCTGGCTCTAAGGTACCTTCCCTTTCTTCTTCCCTGCCATTCCTTTATGTAACTATTCAATATGAAAGGGAGTCTGCCTAGGGTCCTAGGGTAAGTCCTTAGTTCTTCTGACAGCCAGCAAGTCCCACCCAGACCCCACTGGTCTCAATCCCGCTTCATGCTTGGTATGCCCTCTCTGTCCATCCCTACTTCTCAGGGTACTTGTAGCAGTAAAAGCTATTCACAGTCTCCAAACAACTCTGCAGCCATGCTCATGCCTCACAGGTGTTACTATCTGATCACTCCCTTTTTGGGGCCTTGGCCTTCTCAGACTCCGCCCCCTTTCTCTGGCTGCAAGCCTCTAGCCCTGGCCCATGGATTCATGTCCAGCTCTCTTGGCCTGAGCCCTGTTGGTCATAGTGTCTCTGGGCCTCTGATCCCTGTGTTTCTTGTACTGGGCCCGTGTCCCTTGTCTCTGCCCTTCCTGGGCTGCCCTGTCAGAGCTCAAGACACTCTCATATCCTCAGCCACTATGTGGACCTCCATCTTCCCCTGACAATCCCAAACTCAAACCACTTGTCAAAATTCAAACCCAAAACATAAGCACTCTGGCTATAACTAAACCTCTAGCCCCCTGGTAACTCCTACCAGCCTTGGCCCTTAGTCAGCTGCTAGCCCTCATCCTCTTCACTTGTTATCTCCAGGCATAGCATGCTCATAGTCCCTCTCTCAGCAACAGGCATCTCACCACAGAGCTCTTCCCTTTTAGCCTCCAGGGCCATATCCTGCCATAGTTCTGGCTCAGTCTTATATCTCTCTCAGGTTCTGTCCCTTTCCAGTCCATTGACTCTACAGGGCTGGCCACAGGTGTCCTCTAATTAGGGTTCCTAAATGGTCTCCCTGGAAGCCTACCTATAGCACTGCCTTGTCTCCCCAGCAGGGCTCCAGCCTATTGTCCTACTGTGGAGCAGCTAGCACTGCAATAGGTTTGCCTTACCCTGTTACAACTACTAACGAAACCTAAGAGTATTATTGCATGGGACTCTGAGCATGTATTTTATTTAGATCATACTAAGCATTACTGTACGGTATTAAAAGTTACAAAGTGTTCTGAGTGGTCACATGGTAATGCTTACTACTATTTTTTAACACGATCTCTTATGCACAACTTGCTGATTATTAATCCTAGCCTAGCACTGCACCAGAGTTGGTTCAAGCCTCCAGTGTGGTGCCATCAGGTGACTGTTGGTCCCAGTCCCAACATTACACCAGAGCCAGTTCAGGACTCTGGTGCAATGCTGAGGCTGGAACCAACAATTGGCAAGCTCTGTTTGCTTTGTTCCATGAAGACAATACAAGGATAGCTGAATACATGTTACTTAATATGATCTGGAGCACTTCCTTGCATGAGAAGTCTTAACTTTGCTTCAGTATGATGGCACCTAACACATATTTTACTGACTGAATGTGAATACTCTTGCATTTTATGTGCAGTCAACATATCCTATGTGTAACATGTGCCATGGCCCTAACTAGACAACGACAATTTCATATCCTGGCATCTGGTGATTTCAAAATTTGGTTTAGTTCTACAACAGAACAAAACCAAACTCTTTCAAACATTAAAAAAATATTAGTTTTCAGAACAATATTTGTTCCCTTTTACTCAGAATGTGGCTGTGGGTGGGTAAGGTGTTCTAGGCTGTCTAGAACTGTGCTGCTCAACTGATGGCCCATAGGCTGAATTTTGCCCCCAGCATGACTGAATCTGACCCATGAGGGGATCCATGACAAGAAGCTTAGCCCAGCTTGTCCACGTCCTTGACCTATGCCGTGCTGCTGATCCCCTCTGCAGCTCTCCCTGCTCTATCTCCTTCTCCATGGCAGGCAATCACTTTCCTCCCTCTCCTGCACTGCAAGCACCTAACCCACCATTCTAAAAAGTTGAGCTCCACTGTTCTAAATCATAAGGAACACTGATTCAACTCCCCCTTCTGCCTGAGTTACGGCAGAGGTCTTCATCCCAGGACACTCTGAATCAGCCAAAGTACAAACAGGCTTTCCCCATACTAGTCTAATGCTATAATCTCCAGGCTATAGAAAATAACAGTATATTTTCACTTCTCTCCAGTTTTTTTCCCCGCCAATGAATCCAATATATCATCTTAGAAAGTTTCAGTTTCATCAAAAATATTCCAACCATCCCTAACAGAAAGTAAACTGCACATTCCTGTGAGGCAGAAAAAAATTCTAGATGATCCCAGCAAGTTATAAAATTTAGAACACAGAAAAAAACAGCTGTCAAAAAAGGAAGATAGTCTCAATGTTTTATATTCTAGTGCTATGACTACTTTTTAAGTAATTCTGGCCAGAAGATTTGTATATATTGATATGACTATGCTGCTTGGAGATTAGATTCTTTCTATCATTAAAAAAAATTGCAAATATGTACAAAGAACATATATATTTTTTTTTATTTATGCTAAGGTTTCTTTACAGTATAAATATATACATTTCTTTAAGCCAGAACTGTCTCACAAAAGAATCTCTTTTTAACAGAAAGGAGAATTGGGCCCAAAAGGCTAGATAGTTGCTTTAATATGTCTCGAGTTATGTTTATGGACATATTCCTTTTCAAAAACGTGCTCGCTGAAGTCAGTATTCATTCATAAATAAATATTAAATAAATGTGGATGTTTGGAGAACTAAAAAGAAATGATCAAAAAAAGTAAAGTTCAGAAAGAATAAGGTCTCATTGTGTGGTATATCAAGAGGAGTTGTGAACTGGAACAAGTGACAGCTAATAACAGAGGCAGTCTGTTTTTGGGCTCTTGTTGATATAGTTTCCTGCAGGGTCTTATTTACTAAAGTCACCAGCTGATCTTAGACTGTCACTTCACTTACTGACAGCTGAGCATATGCTTTTCTGTAGTAAGTGTGGCTGATTTAGACAACAATTAAACAGCAATAAATTAAGTATAATCCTCAAATAAAATTGTATCTAACTTGCCTGTTGCACAGTGAAAAATAAAAAAGGCAAGAATATGAAAATTGTTTTAAAGTTCTTGAAAATACAAGACGTTATTATCGATATTCATAAACTGAGTTTCCAAAAACAAAAGCATAAGCCATGTCTCCACTATTTCCTTTAGAAGTGAGACCTCATACTTCTGCAATAGTTACTTTGAAGGGACTCTGAAAAAGTAATTAATGAATTTTGAGCGCTCTACCCTTTGGGCCCAATTAAATTTTAGTGCTCATTAATTAGCAGTTAAACTTATTTCAGTTCATTCATCTAGAAAGTACCTTACAGAAAAGGACACCAGATATAGAGATTACAATTACTTGTCTTTAAAAAAAAATAAAATAATGATAAATAATAATAAACAGAGAGGGTGATAAAGTTTCATTAAGAAAATTATCTTAAAGCACATTTTTAAAAGAGGGTGAAAAATAATTGCTCATTGTGCTAAAGCTATGTTAATCTAATGAACCATGAAGTTTCCTGTAGCTTCTCAGTGGTAAAAGGATTTAGTATTAATCTGCTTCATTAAAAATTAATGAGGGGTAAATCAGCTGCTACTTAGTGTAATAGAAAATCATCTAAATACTGTTTGTAAACTACATTGCACTCAGTATGGTTGCTTTTATGCAGTGCCAAAAATAGCACAAGCAAATTGCCAGATGTTGATAAATGAGTCCTTAGCTTTCATTCAGAAGATAGAAGGAACTTTAAAGTCTGGTGTCAACACCCACTGTGTGAGTTTTATTTTTAATTGCATAATGAATTTGGTGTTGAGACAAATGAGATACTAATACCACACAGTAGTAGATACAAGTCTCTGCTCCCTCAATGAACTCCATGTCTCCGGGACCCATTCTACAGTCAGGGCCAGTGTGGACAAATGTGCAGGCTTTTGACAAATTTCAATTAATTTTCCTAGGTTACCCTGAGCAGAGAATATTAAGTCACTGGGAAGGATTGCTTTGTGTAAAGTCAAATTATCTGATTCTAATTAATGCTAATTAACATGTTAACTCAAAATTTATTTTTAACCTAATGACTGCAGCAGTCACAGAAGTGTTAACATACCTGACCAACATAGACAGGCTCTGTTAAGTTCATTTCCTCCTCCACAAAAAACACGTTCCACACCCAACCACGTTTCACTCTCCGGGCTGATGAAAAAGGTTGGTCTGTATTCTGGATGGCATGCCTTTGCGTACTTAGAAAGCAAGGCCATAGCTGAACCATTGTCAGCACAAGACATAGTGATGTATGACAATTCATGCTGAAACTTCCTTTCAATCTGTATTCATCCGTGGAAGGGGAAAAGGAAAGCTTTTACCATGCATCACCTTTCTTCTTTTACAAATATTGATTCTCTGCTAATCTATTAGGTGATTTTCAGTATTAAAAATTCTTCCTATTCCTGAAAGAGAAGAACCAGAACAAAGTCAATTTAAGCGTGAGAGATTTTATTAGCAACTCAAAGGCACGAAAGTCAAGTGTTCAAATTTCATTTAGATAAGCCTTTCAGAGGGACTTTCTATGCAATAAATAAATAAATAAAAGGAAACTCGTCCTTCAATTAATTCATCTTCCAAATTAAGCTGTGTCAATTAAATCATTTTCCAAATTGTATTGTGCAGCCTAGCAATAATTTTGGAGTAACTGCACATTTCTGCTTAGACAAGACTCATTTGGAGCTGCAGCCACAGAACTGTCTCATGGGCAAAAAAGTTGTTAGTGGCCCTAATGACTGCCAGCTGAAATTGAGAAGTACAGACATTGTTTAAAAACTTCCTCATTCTTTCCATCCCGTCTCACAAAAATCCTCAAGCCAAAAAGAGGAGACAAAGGAGCTGGCATAGGAAGAAGCAGCTGAAATATGCTTCTCTGACTAGGTCAACAGAACTTAACTGTCTTGGATGATTCTACCTCCTCTGACATTTCATGTTTTCAATTCACAGACAAAAGGAAAACAGTCTGGAAGCCCTTGTGTTCCAACAGTCAGTTTAATTGATGACATGAAATATTCTTTTGGTAAGCCCAAACCTTTTTACCTGATGTATTTTATTGTCATCTGCTGTGAGTGATTTCTGCATTGACAACCTAAACAAAATGATCAGTTAGAAATAATGCTCGACTAAGAATGGCCACCTTTGAAATACAGAATTCTGAAACGACCAGCCACAGACACACTTCATGTTTTAAAGGTTTGCTCTGAAGTGACTGGAAGTTGGGGTTCACTATGAGTTTATTCCATACCAGTCAGTACTTAGAATTTTAGGTAAAAGCAGCCAAACTGGAACATACATCCACCTATATATTCAGTTATCCTTGCATTGTTATCAAGAACTTATCAAGCTAGACATAAACTCTATACACAAACCCTTTACCGTGATTATGTTAAGAATTTATCCCAGAAATAACTAAAGCCATACCTCAGGGTCCAACCATTTAAAAGATAGGTTTGATTAAGATTTTCACAAGGTTGTATTATTAGAATGTTTCACATTTATATATTGAAAGTTAGTCATTGTTAGGCATAGTTAAGGAGAAATTGTTGATGTAATTTACATGCAAAACTTGATCCTTAGCAACTGACACCTTTTCTAAATTTGAATACACAGTTCATTAGAATATAGAACAGAAACTTTATTTTAGTGTTGCACATGTGGAGGCACAAACACCACCAACAAAAACCAGATGAAACAGTCCTTTCAGGACATTCAAAAAATAGTTTAAACATTGCTTAAGTCCATGGACAGGTGTTCAGTTTGGGCTTGGGCCCTTGCAGTTGCTTCTGGTTATATATCAGCTTGTTTTTTGTTCTGATATTGCTACCTTGCCCTCCTACTCAACAGACTACATTAATCATCTTATAGTGATAATTATAAGATAATTCAAGCATTATCTTTCTTACTGTTTGAATCCTAAGTGGTTATTAGTACACAAGCTTGTTAGTAAACACATCTAACACATCAACTTAATAAGGGTACAGAATATGACTCTGCTATTCTGCTACTCTCCACCCATTAAAATGCACTAGCAGCTGATCATCAATGGCAGATGATGTAAAGAATATAATTTCTCCCATATTTCTTTTAGGTGATAATGTGTACACCTAAGTATCATACCTCCAATGGTGGTTAGAAACTTTCATTGTACATCACTATCTTAAGGATGATAAAAAATATTCTTGGTTTCAGGAACTAAACCTTTTATAGTACATATGGAAAAACAGAATCCCAGTGTTTAACCATAAATATCCTTATGGAAAGGTAGCGAGGCACATGCCAGCACATGGGCATGGGGCACATGCAGCTTGTGGTGCGCAGGATGGGCCCAGTTCTATAGGCCCAGGGGGCTGATCTGGGCCATTTCATACAACCCACCCTGATCCCGTGTGTTATGTCCAGTGTCAGTTCAGCTGGCACTCTGTGGGCTGGACACATCCTGTGCTGGCAGGACACATCCTGGGCCGGACACATCCTGTGCTGGTTCTGCATACTGCATGTGCAGGTGGCCCAGCATGCCCTGTGCACAAGACCATCCTTGTATGCTGTTCCGGGATGGACTGATCCAGATTGTTTCCAAATTGTGCATAGGGCCAGCTGTGGGGAGTGGCATGCTTCATGAAGGTAAGCATGTGGGGCTCGTGCCAATCCAGTGACACACAGGACAAATCATACGGCTCCATGGGCCAGATCCAGTCCACAGGCCATAAGTTTGACAACCCTGAATCACCCTGTTGCACTACAGATTTATACACTTAAGAGCAGTGAGCCATTATGGTACATACAAAAAAAGTTTTAAGGTTCCAGGAAAAACGGAGTAATTCATGTTTCAATTAAAACCTTTTTTTTTTTTTTTTTTTTTTTAGATTGGCATTATATTATCTTTTATAGTGGACCTTCAGAGCCTTTATTACTTTTAATTTTCACTTGTATGTCTCTGGGAAATGGGGTTGGTAAATAATTTCGAGAAGCAAACTTGAAGATCTCCAAGCATTAGATACTTTGATAAACTCAGCTGTGCATTTGTTGTTTGATAACACATTGCTTCTATATTTTTATCAATTCTAGCAACATTTAAATATCATCAATCAATGATAATTCTACTGTTATACTATATCTTTTCTCCAAGAAAGATTTCTTCTAAAAATGAAGTAATGTGTACTAATAACCACTTAGGATTCAAACAGTAAGAAAGATAATGCTTGAATTATCTTTATTACTTCCATAATTCCTGAGGGATAACACATACATAGATCAGCCTGCATAATTAATGCATTTGGTTTGTCATTTTTCCTTGTTATTTAAAAAAAACAACAACAAAGAAACATATTTGTAAAATAATTTGTGTGAAACAGCTATCACTGTGTGACCAGTGATGGACATAATCCCATTCTAACTTCTGAAGATTGCTGAATTCCACAGGGAAGGAAAATAGATAGCAATTATCGTGGGTTTAGCATGATGGAATCTCTTCATTATCTTTTTTTCAATGCTTTTTAATTATAATTTTATCTTTGCACTCAATGTGAAGGCCGATGTAAGCTTTTCATTCTTCATTAATTTTAAGGATACTGTGCATAGTGATTAGTCAAAAAAGGTATACTTGATCCAGAACAGCTACTCTTAATCTGTGACTCAAACTGTGTCATTGACAGTGACTCTTAATCTGTATCACCCTGGGGTGCTGTAAAATCCTTTGAAGGGTGCCATGGGGTGTAAGGAGATATGCCTAGGTTTGTTGTTGCCCAGCTGCTCCTTCTCCCCTTGCCTTTCCACTGTTGGGCCCCTGTGAAAGGAACTAAGCACTGTATTAAATAGACGATAAAATGGAGTGCTGCTCAATTCACAAAAGTTATGGACAAGTGCCCAGAACATAAAGAGGTTGAGAACCACTTATCTGGAGGAATGTGTGTGATATTGGGAACACCTCATTCCTGGATTGTAATCTTGACTTCACTGATAACTTTCTTTGTGGCTGTAAATGTTCAGCCATAAAAATGCTTATTAAATGAAGCCAAAATAGGAGTAGAGGAAAAAGCACTAGACTTTTTAAAATTGGATTATTTTCTGTCATTGAAATTGTGTTTTATTAATTACATTTCACAAGCAGGTCTGCTGTATTTTTGTAGGAGTGTTGTGGAAATGCATTTGTGAATAAGGGTGAAGTTATATGTTATGCTTAATATAGACCATACTAATTTATAGGAGCTGGGATACCTGAACTCTACCTTTGCTCTGGGAGTGGTGCATCCTAGAATGAGAGAGCACTGGAACAGGTCAACCAGAAAGGTGGTGGAAGCTCCAACCTTGGGGTTTTCAAAACCTGGTTAGACAAAGCTTTGATTGGGATGATCTAGTTGGGGCTGGTGTTGCTTTGAGCACGGGGTTGGACTAGATGACCTTCTGAGGTCCCTTCCAACCCTAATTTTCTGTGATTCTATGAAATTGTTGATTTTCTCTCTGGAGCAGACTGAAGTTACCCTAATATGAGCTAGGTAACATGCCCCAGAGTTAACCTTTGTCTGAAGTGGCATATCTTTGACACACTCAGAGAGCACTTAGTATAAGTTAATCAGCTTTAACTTTCAGATGATCACATTTTAAGTCCCCTTAGTATGGTCTAAGGATAACATGTAACTTTCTTTTTATGTCTTTCTGTACACTCTTAGAAACTTAGCTAACATAGAGTTGAAGCTGGCTAGTTTTGCCTGATGCCCTTACAGAATAGCAATTCTATATGTAAGTCTGCAACTAAAAACTATGATAAAACTTTGATCTGGAAAGCTTGCAGAAAAGGACAGTTTTCTTGCCATTTTCCAGTTGGTCCAATAAAAGGTATCATTTTGGAACCAAGCGTTCTAGTTTTTTGTATGTCTTTGAAAACAAGGAATTTGAGAATAAAGCAGCCCAGTTTTATCATCCTTATTTTGTCCTCCAGAACTAACAGGAGCCAGGGTTCTCACATAATAAGTGGGCAAAAGGAATGACTAAGTAAACGTGCCATTTATTATTTTGTATTGTGTCCCACAGAATTTTATTCTCTCATTTATCTGCATGCACTCCACCTGCTGTTCTGTGTGTTAGCGTTAGTTGTATTGACTGTAAAGTTGTTAAGTAGGCATAGCCAGCTGGTGTTCACTAAACTCTTCCTAAATGCATCTTTTCACTTAATGAGGATATAGTCTGAAAGGATAAGTCTGGCTTCTCCACACAGTTAATAAGCCAAGCAGACTATTGTGCTAACATAGCGATATACTTCCAGGATCTGAGATAACTAAGTTAGCCCCAAATGAGCTATTTACAAAGCACTGCATTCTGCTGTGTAGACACACCCTAGGTTTTTTTCCTGTTGTACTTACGTGCCATGTCCCCTTAGTACCACAGCATCATTGGAAGGAAAGTTCTACAA